ATACAAAAAAAAAAAAAGTCTAGTGAGAGGAGAACTTACTTGGAAATACAATTGCTTGTTTCTCAGAGGGCACATTGGAGACATCTGAGCACTGATGAAGTACTAGCATACTAACAACAACAGCAAAATCAGATGGATGCCTATGAAAAACAAACATTGGAAATTTATGATAAGAAGGAGTGTGAATATAAGTTGTACTGAAACCATCCTAGTACAACTGTTTATATCGTTGAGATTGACAGTGGTGTAAAGAACAAACTGGTGCTAACAAAATATTTGTAGATTTGCAGAATGTGGAATTGATAGTATTTGATGTTTGCAGGAACATACTAGTAAAAGGTACATAAAGATGACAAGATTCGGGCACTATATCAAAAGATACAGCTCAAGATCAAAAAATCCACCAGTGGAGAAAAAAGACTGAATCTTACAGCTCAGTCTTATTAAACTTTAGTTGAAAGAATGAAGGACAAAATGATCTGTCTTCAGAATGGGGACATATTGAAAGAAACAAAACCAAACTTCAGTGACTTTTGCTGTTCAGTGTAGTCATGGACTAACTGGAAAAGACAGTAAACAGTGTGACCAGGTATGCTGACTTTTAGGAGAGTGAGAAACTCAGCAGTAAAATGGCAAGTTAAATACTATCTTTTGTAAGTATTTGGTGTAAATGATGGGAAGTGATATGTGGGGGAAAATATTTCCAACTTTATATATAAAACAGTAGAATGAGCTAATCATTACTGTTTGGTATCAAGAGCTTTGAGTGATAGTTCAGTGCAAATGTCAGCTCAATGCTCAGTAGTTACCAATAAAGAAAATCAAATAGAGAACAGGGCCAGTGCATAAATGCATAGCTGACTTGCCTGCTAAATACCAAGTTTGTCCTTTTATCTCAAAAAGAATATAATTGTGATAATATAAATTTAGAGAAGGAGCAAGGTTTTTGGTATGAGACACAGCTAAGTGAGACAGGACAATTCATTGTGGAAAAGAGCTGATCGTAATTCTGAGTTCAAAAATCATAATTGTTATGAAGAGGGTAGAAACAGTTCATTATGTCTTTCAACGCGAGAACTAAAACGTTATCAAACAAAGCTGACAAAAGTCAGATTCCAGACAAGCCAATTAGTTCTTCCAATGTACAATGAGTAGAAGCTATAAAACTTTTTCCAAATGATGCTGAGGGTGCTGAAAACATATACCCCTCACAAGAGAGACTAGAAAAGTTAACACAGGTGAAATCAGTTTAAAGGTTACTCAGGAGGTTTGCTGAATTCTTCTGAAAGGTTATTCAAAATGAGGCTAAACGGAATCATGTCTAATTGAGGAGTTGGCTATCTTTGAATGAGAAAATTGCTTAGTCTGAGAGAATATGTGAGAGTATAAGTACTTGCCCTCTTCACATATTTTCTTTGATAATTTCTCTTGACCGCCTAAGTGCAATATATTGTGATAGGTAGACCTTTTGTTTAATTTAGAAGAGTTGTTCTTGGGTAATAGAGCTATTTCAAGATAGTTCTACATACTCTGCTTAGCTCTTGAGCTTCAAGTTAACCAAAGAGGTGGTTTTTGGAGAAATTGGACTCCCTGTATCAGTTCATAGGGGGCAGCAGATGAAAGTGTTCTTTACCTATGCTTCAGGAGTTAAATAGTGGGTATAAATCAGACATGATCACTGCTCAAAATACAGATATTCTTGTACTCTGTAAGTACAAGGGTAGTGTACTCTGCAAGGGTCCAGTGGTATATCCTTCTCTGGGCTATCACTGAGTTGTTTGCAGATCTGGGCATGTTTTGCCTGAAGTTAATAACCAGCATTCTCCTATGGGCAATGAGTGTTTGAGAGTTCCAGTTTCTATCAGTGACTGATGACCAGTTTTTATTTGCCAGAAGGGTGAATGTAATTCCAGAAAACTTCTGCCATTCAAAATTTTTCCAGAGTGCCCTCCAGGCACTCTGATAAGGCAGGCTGTGGAGACAGTCTCTTCTAAGAATCGAGCAAGCTCTGTCTGGAAGACAGACGACAAAGATAATTTGTGTCACTTAAGAACAATTTGGGGACTTATGAGTTAAGTCTGCCAAATCAATGAATAAGTGTGCATTAGGAACAGACTGAAGTGCACAGACATTTATAAGTGGCCAATCAGTAGCAAACATGATTTTTCTTGCTGACACAGGAGAAGACATTAACTGCAGTGATCTGCAGTTTCCCAGCAACTGAAGAAAGCTTGGTAGGAACATGTTTAATGTTATTAACTATTAGGTGGTGGACTAAACTTCCTATCTCTGCATTTGTGTTCTGAGATCTAATGACACCTAAATACAGCGTGCATTTGGCAGGCTTATTTTTTTTCTTCCAGCTGGTTTGTGCTACAAGGACAAGCAAGGGGCTGACTGGCATGTGCCAGGATGCAGTTAATTTATTGTACAGGAGAAATCCCTTTAAAACACCATCATTAAAAACATTTCACAAAGAATGATTTTTTAAGTCAAAATGTAGAGCAACTCCTCTAGGCAAGGAAGATCTTGCCAGGACTCCTCCCTCATTCGAATTCTGTCCAGCCTCCTGAATGATTCTTAACCTAATTAAGCATGAGAAATTAAACAAGCTAACAGGAAACAAATTGAAGAGAAATCTTTGTGGTTTAACTTCCTTGAGTATTTTTGTGCATATTTTTCTTCTTTGACGGTGTTTTCTCCTTCAACTGCATTTATGGATGTTTCATGTTTTACCTCATTAGATATTACAGGCATAGAGCTTGTCCTACAGATCTCTCAAGTGCTTACCATGGCCAAGAAGAGTGCAAACATTTGAGTTTCCTATTCTTCAGAGAGACCAGAGTTCAAAGCATCATAAATATACGGCAGTGAGACTAATCACAGAATAGAAAAATGTTAGGGATTGGAAGGGATCTCTGGAGATCACCTAGTCCAACCCCCCTGCCAGAGCAGGATCACCTATAGCAGGTTGCACAGGGTGGCATCCAGGCAGGTTTCAAATGTCTCCAGAGATGGAGATTCCACCACGTTTATGTGCAGCCTGTTGCAGTGCTCTGCCACCCTCGAAGTAAAGAAGTTCCTCCTCATATTTAGATGGAACTTCCTGTGTTCAAGTTTGTACCTGCTACCTCTTATCCTGTCACTGGGCATCACTGAAAAAGGACTGGGCCCATCCTTCTGACACTCACTAGGTATTTATAAGCATTGGTAAAATCCCCCCTCAGTCTTCTCCAGACCAAAAATGCCCTGAGTCCCTCAGCCTTTCCTCATAAGAGAGATGTTCTAGTCCCCTAATCATCCGCCCTTTGCCATACCCTCTCCAGTAGTTCCCTGCCCTTCTTGAACTGGGGAGCCTGGAACTGGACACAGATGTAGCCTCACCAAGGCAGAGGACGAATCATGTTCACCCAGTGGAATTCTGACTCTAGTGTCATACCACTGTACTCATAGTTTAGCAGCATGGCTACCATCTGAGCAGAAAGAGATTCCTGGCTATGCAGCAAATCTATTTCTTTCAACCTCTCTCCTGAAATCACAGCAGCTTGTATCGTGTAATTCCATAGTGCTGTTGTGCAGTAAGCATTTCAGCAACAGATCAGGTGAAATGCTGTCTCTGATAGGAGGTGTTTAACCTTTGAGTAATTATCTGAAGCGTGATATTTTTGCAAAACAGAGGGATAAAAATCAGAAGAGAAGTCTGTTTCACCAGGGAGAAAGGCTTATTATGAAACAGGGTCACATACTAAATGCTTTTCTATTCCTTCCATTTCCTGAATATATTTGCTCAAAAGCTGAGGTGAGAAGAACGCTAGCAGATACAAACCGAACTCAGCTGGTTTGGTACGCTGCTGTAACGCACTGATGCAAGTGCTTATTATTATATCAGTAAGGAAGGCACACAGACTCCGTAACACATTGATTAAAATACACTTATTGGAGTTAATACATATAGAAAAATTCTTACATTCCGTGAGATGGCAGGAGCCACAAATCATGCAGCATTGGATAGACCTCCAATAAAAGCACAGCACACTGGGCAGGTCCCATCTGTAGAAAGGTTTGCCAGCATTTTGATCTTCAGAGATCTCAAAAGATTTTTTTTGTTTTTTTTTAAAAAATCTGATTGTTTCTACCATTAAGTAAAAGGCTTTTCACATGAGAATATACTGCCTATATTAGGATAAAGACAAAGTCACAAGGCTGCTGTAATTGCCCTTATCAAGTGGGAGCTGCCTACAGGCTTCTTTACCATTACACAGCAGAGTCGGTCTTGTGGCCAAGGAGAATGTACAGCACAGCATAGCACAGTACAGGCCTGCACCTACTTGGGTTAACTGCTATGTGGATCACTACAGTGATCACTACCCAGTGATCACTGGGTATACAATTGTCTTGCATTTAGGATCACTACACTAACAGCAAAAGCAGTCTCAGTAAGACACTTCTTTATTCATTCTCTCGATGGCAAACTATTATCCCAGAATACCATATGGCATCCTGACACAAGTGCTATCCAGTTAGCTGTGTGCTTTCTGAACAGAATGTCTTTTCACATTTACCCTGCCACTGAATCCCATATGAAACTGTCCAGAGAAAAAATTATAAATATTCTTGAATTTCTTTGGGACAGTTTCATTATTTTTTTTCAGGAACACAATTCTTAAGTGATCAGGTGTAATTCCTACTCAGGTATTAAATATACTAACTATAAATCATTTCTAGATTAGGTAATACATCTCCACATAGTTAGTATTCTCCTAGCAATATAACAAAATCATATCTATAAATAGGACTTGTAGTATTCCCAGACCCTTTATAGCAGTATTGATGTATCAATTATATTTGACTTGGAAACAAAATGACATTTTGTTTAGCAGCACAGCCAAGTTTCATTTTTATGACTTATGCAAGCTAAAGTGAGTGATGGCAAAGGTGCTAGTAAGGTCTCACAGACTAAGGGATAGACTAATCATTCTTCTTTTCAAATTCTTAATATAGAAACTATTAATCCTTGCTTGCATGCTGTGATCCATGTGTTTATGGACAAAGAACAACTGCAGTTATCACTGCCAGTTCTATGAAGTATTTCATAGCAGAAACGTGTGAGTCTCTTAGCTCAGTCATTTCCAGTCTTCGTGTCCAGGACAGATTCTTAGGAAGAATGGATCTATGGGAAGCAGTTTCCAGGACACTTAAGTAGGCCAGATTTCACATATTTCCTAAGATCTGAAATTAACTGTGTTCAGATGAAGAGTACTCAATACAGGTCCAGATCAATAATTCAGTAGAGACAAGGAGAAAAGCTTATATTCATTCTTATTTTTCTCCTAAACATAATTTTTCTTCCCTTTCATCTTTTGACAAGTCTTCTTTGCTGGTACCTCTTAGGTGTGCATGGTGATATGTCATACTAGTTTTAGAAGAAATAAAAATTGGTGTACAAGTTAATTTATTTTCAGTTTCTAGGAAAGCAAGCAATTTTTTCTCTGTGAGGGGTTTTCTTCAAAATGTTTTAAACCAGTAATTAAAAGGATATATGTAGCTGTATGAGAGTTAAATCTGGTGACTCTCTAGTTTGAAGTTGTTTAAGTAATCTCTTAGGTGTCAAATGGCTTTTCCTCCAACCAGGGACAAGGAAGGTAAGAGCTGCGAGGTGCATGCTATGGTCTTTTTTGGCAGCAGATACACAATTGTGAAGACTGTCCAGGCACACAATCTTACAGAAGAAAACAAACAAATAAATAAAAAAAATAATAAAGCACTTTTATTTTTTTCCATATTAAAACTTGTCAGCAATAAAAAGTAGTTTATACTGAAAGATTATTTGAAAGCTGAGTATTAATTGTACAATCTTGCACATCAGTTTGGCATTTCTTTTTGTAGTGCTTATTTATTTTTTAGAAGTCTATTACATCCGTGAAATTCTTCAATGTTTTCATATACCTTTTGAATCTGAAAGTAAACTTGTGTTTGTTTCCCTCCTCCAGTTATTGATAGGCTATGAAAATGGGACTGTAGTATTCTGGGACTTACGATCTAAAAGAGCTGATCTGAGAGCTTATTATGATGAGGTAAGTAGTTTCCATTAATTCAGAAGAAAATTATTCAGCAATTTGTCGTATGTCCTCTCAGGCAGGTGGATATTTATCTTAAGGCATTGCTTGTTCTGGAAACCCTTTTTGTGCTATGGTTTTGAACAAGTTACTGACAACAGAAATCAAAATCTGAAATCTGTAGTTCTAATGCATCAGGCTCTTGTGAAGGTATACAGCACAGTCTCTTCCCCATGATTCTGACACTCTAAAAAGTAATCTGAATATGTCTGAACCCTGCGCTCTTTCAGGCCTAGTTTAACAGACGTGTCAGCACTACCCTGAGCTTCAGCGTTAAGATTCAGAGCTTCCATATAGCAAATGTTCTAAAGGACAGGACAATTTGGAGTTTAAACAAGCCAGCACTTAAGCTTCAAGACATGCCCACCGAATTGTTTCTAAGTGACAGTCTGCCTGTGCATACATTTGTGAAATTGCACCTGTTCTGTTACTTAAAACTTTTTCCTTTTACAGGACTCCTGGGGAGGGGATTCCGTTCACCCACTGTCATCTCTTATGTTCAGCATGAGAATGCATAAAGCAGGACCTTCATAATACTGTTTCTCTTTTCGTTGTTGTTTTTTACTTGTTGAAACAGAGTGGTTGGGTGTTTAAAATTTCTCATGCAATTCAGTTGTTCCACATTTTCCAGTACTGTCCTCAGGAAATTTCTTGGGCATTTTTATTAGTCATGTGCTTTCCTCCTCAGTAGTTGCTTGCTGTGTCATTACTCCACTTTATGCAACTTGTGATGGTGTGCTATCATCTACTGAAATAGTTGCAAGTTTCTTATTTTGTCTTTAAAAGAGTTGTGTGACTAGCCATTGCACTTTATTCCAGACTTTCAGGCTCCAGATTGATATCCTAATGTTCCAGATCTGCTTGGATTCCTGTAGGGAGCCCTAAAAAGGGTTCCTTTTTAAATCCTGGATTATATAGCTTTTGTGAGTCACAGATGATTAGTTCCACATGTGCCATTTGGTATTTGGCACCAACCCAAGTTTTTAAACCTAAGCCTCTACTTACACATTGGTCACCTAACAGCACAGTCCAGTAAACATTATTCCTGTTCCCCTTCACCATTCTGTCTTGACTGATGCAAGGCTTCTGTGCCCCGTCACATCTGACCGATCTTTCAGTATCGTTGTTCGGGCACTGAGCCAGCCAGTTGCAGTTGCAGGGTATCTGTGAGGTCTCAGATAAATTACTGTAAACGTTCTCTATCTCTGTTGAATACCAAGTGCCTCGTTGAATGAGGTCTGAATGAAATTAATCCAGCCTCATTTTTCTTACTAAAATTACACTTTCTTTAGCATCAGTTTTGAAACTAAAGTAACCACCCTATCTGATGGTGAAAGAACTGGAAATCTCATCTCACTCACCACTTCCTCTGTTGGCATCTTTAAGGATCATCAAATGGCACAATCTTTTCCGGCTTATCAGTGGCACCGGATTTCAGTCTCCCCAGACTGGCCGTTGAGAAGGTGGCTTTCTGTTAGTCAGATCTGTAGAACTTGTCACTGTGAAGGACAGGAGCAAGAAGTTAACAGCAGACAGAACTTCTCACCAAAGGTAGAAAAGGCTGTGCAAGTTTCATTATCTGGAGCTTCTCTGATTGGTGTTCTTGTAAGCCTGTGGCTTCCATTTAAAGCTTCTCCCTGATACTTATGGTTTACTCAGTGGACCTGAAAGTAGTGCTCTCTGGTTTAGCCCCATGGATGACCAATTAGAGGATGCCTCAGTTCATCAACTCCTGATACAAGGGGTTTCCATGTTTTCTTCTCTACTGGGTCAGATACTTTCAAGAGACTAAAATGTTCTCGCTTGTGAAAGACTTGGTCCCAAAGTGGAGCTTGAACCTGCTACTGAAGAATCGTGTGTCTGCTCGTCAAGATGTCAGCTGCAGATTTGTTTCGTGTGATGTCATCTTCCCAGTGGTGATATGTTTGACAGATTGTGTCAGTGCACATTCAGAGCTTCCTGAAGCATAATCATCATCTTTCATTAGAGCACATCTCCCAAATGAAGCTGCAGAGTTCGTAGTGATATTTGCCATATGGCATCTCGCTGCTTATCAAACACTATGGGCCTTCAGTACTACTAGCAAAAAAGATTTTTAAGGTTCAAGCAGTAGGATGAGATGTATATGGTACTTGTTCAAAATATGCTTAAAAGTGGTCCTAGAGTACCCACGAGTTCTTCTCAGTGGAGGAGTTTTCTGCATAGGAAGGAGCTGAAATGTTGCTGGGCATGCTTAATTTTAGTACATGCTGGAGATAAGAGAAGGTGGAAAATGTATGCAACCGCTGTGGGTATTGCAGGAGAAATACCCAATCTGGAGTGGTATGCTTTATGTGCGTACACTGTGTGAACATTCACATGAGTCACCCACTGTGATAAACTCCTGTTCTAAGAAAATAACTGCTCATTTTTGATCCTAAAGAAGTGGATCAGAATGCTAGACATATTCTGGCAGAGAGAAAATTAGGGACTTGTTCAGTACCAACTTTCAGTATTAGTTGTGACTCGCAGCTGAGATCTCCAACAAGCAATTCTATTTCTTGCCTGTTTCTGGGCAAAGTCTAACAGGTGAGCTTGAGTTGCTGCTATGTCAGCTGTTGGTGACAGATCACCTCACCTCAGCTCCACTCCACAGGAGGTTTATGCTGGCAGGTGGCATCTAGTAGCTGAGAGGCAATTTAACAAGCAATTTTCAGCCACTAGTTATTAGCTTCTGCTCAGAGACAGTTAGCGACTGTAACCGTGTGAAATGTTTCTATGTGTGATAACACATCAAAAGCAGATCCAAATTTGGCGTGATAGCAAGCATGAATGAGCTCATGTCAGAACTAATTTGCACAAGGATAGTCAAGTGAAGCAGCGCTCCTCACAGATCTAAGGTTCTTGCTACCTGAGGGCAATCAGCATTGGACTCTGTATGAATCTTTCAGTGTTATCTTTTGTTGCTTGTTATAGTTTGGTGTCTTCTGGGTCTTTAAGAGGAATTGTGTGCCAACCCCGCTCTGGCAGATAAAAGTTCAAGCGACACTCATTATGTCACTCAAAGATAAATACCTAGAGTTCACTTGGTTCCGCTCTGCTTATTGAGTCTTTATTGGCATGACGAGTTCACTACTGTGTTAACAAAGTGTTCATATACAAGACGTCAGGTTCCTGTTGAAACATCTGTGTTATCTTAATGCAAAAGCTCGTCTGTGGCTATGCTGTCCAGCTGCAGGGGCTGAGTAAAGTTTTGGTAATAGGTTACAGCCTTTTGGTTGGTTTCCTCTGATATTCCCTACAAACCATGAGATGTTACCAACCATAACAAATCAATATACTTATTAAAAGAGCAAGACCAACAGGGAGTTTTGAGTAACGACCAATAGCACTGAGGTTCATTTGTTGTCAGCTTAAGTAAAATCGATATGAACAACTTCAATGCTGACTTATGAATGCTCAGGCATGATTTTAAAGTGATTTGAATAAATCAGGTAAATGATTCTTCTAAGAAGACCTACCAGACATACTGTGATCGTACTCTGTGGCCCTTGTTCTTAGGGTTTTACCTTAAGACCCTGTTCCTTTGATTTTAGTCTGATTCAGTACAGGCTTTCTTACATGCTTGTGTTATGTTAGCATTTTTAATTGTTTTGCTTGACCAGCATAGATTACAGCCATTGATTACTAAGAAATGCTAGGAATGGACTAGAGTCAAGCAAGAAATGTCCAATGGTTGATATACCATTAGTTATAATCCAAAGTCATGCATTAAAGTATTTTTAGTGTAAACACTGTATTCTATTTCAGCCTCAAGTTCTTCTTTCATTTCTCTAGGCTATTCATTCTGTTGCTTGGCATCATGAAGGAAAACAGTTCATGTGCAGTCACTCTGATGGCAGCTTGACCCTATGGAATCTGAAAAGTCCTAACAGACCATTCCAGACCACAATTCCACATGGTAAATTTTGATAGTTAAAATGTATAACTAAGAAGTAATCCAATATTCTCCATGTTGTTTGCTAGTATCTATGTTTATTTCATTTTTTATTGTAGTCTAAGTCTAGAGTTGCTTCTTGCATAAATATTTTAATCTGCAAAGTAGCTGCAAAATACTGTAGAAATCAGAAGGCAATTTTGATAAAACTTTTTTTTTTAATTGGTGTCATAAATACCTCTTGCTGGTTGAATGTTGCTCTGATGTCTTCCTTTATCCAATTAATCTTAGTAGTCTACTGCTGATCTTTGACACCCTCAGGCTATGGAATTTTCACATTTCTTTCTTGCATATTTTCTTCTTAAGTACTTGTATGTGCAATTTTTACAAGAAGTAATACATTTTCTACAAAGCACTGTGTTGCTTGTTACAGAGATGGTACAAGGTTTCCCAAGTCACTGCAGTGAAGAATTTACAGGAGCCATATTATGAAATGGCCGTATTTTTATGGCTGGGATTTTATATGCCATTGCTTTCTATAAATGACGTAAAAAGATATTGACTCTATTGCAAATCAACACATTGATTTGCAATCAATGAGAGGGAGGAAGTAGGAGAAGGCAAGATCTATGTAGCCCAGAAAAGTTTTAGTATATTCTTATATTGCCTAATTCCATTTATTGTTTTTAGTGATAGAATGGACGTTATGTCGGAAGGAATTTCTCAGAGGTCATTCCCAGCTCAAAACGGGCCTGTTTAGGTCAGTTAGCTCAGTGCAGTCAATGCTGGATGCTTGAACACTTCCAATAACAAATTGCACAACCTCTCTGGGCACCATTTTCCAATTTTTAATGACCTTCACAGTACAGCTTTTTTTTTTGCTAATATGTAACCAAAATTTCCCATGTCACAATGTGAGTCTCAAATGTGACTTGAGTCACAACTCTTTGCCCCCTGTCATGCCACTGTGCACCCCTGAGAACAGTCTGGCTCCATCTACAAGGTATCCTCCAGTCACGTTGGTGTCAAAAGCAAGCATAGGCTTTCCAAAGTAAGAAACTCACGATTGTTTGGGTTGTTTTTTTTGTTTACAAGTTGCTTTTCTCTGACGGAAAGAAAATAGTGAGCCGTAATTAACCAAAAACTGTGAATTTCAATGGAACACTTCATTTAATTTTGCCACTCCACTGGTTATGCTCCAGAGCATGACGCATTTTGTCAATGAAGAGAAGGAATTGAGTCAATGTAAGAATGACTTAGGAAAAAATTAAGCTGTTTATGGTCATACTGTGTTCAGAAAAAAATAATGTTTATATTTGGTCAAATTTGTTAATTATTAGTTAAATGTCATCCTTTTCAGTAATTTGCGTGGGATTTAGATGTCTTTGAAGTGTGGTCCTTCAGATGTATGTGGCAGTAAACACATAAAGCATAAAAAATGTAATTTAGACAAATGCATGTTTTATAGAGTAGGAGCTAATACTCATCATCTTCTGTAGCTTTAAAGTTCCATTCTCTCATCACATATACAGGTGCTTCAATGTACAAGTTTTAGTTTGATATTTCTATTTTAATGATGTTCCAATATGGTTTTCATCTTCTTCTCTTCCACAGGAAAAATTCAAAGAGATGGAAAAAAACCTGAATCTTGTAAACCAATTCTTAAAGTAGAGTACAAGACTTGTAAAAACAGGTATGTTTTTATTCTGTAATTAATTGAATATTATATTCCTGAGTTAAAGTCTTTTTAGAATCTTCCCTGCTTTCTTTTTGCAAAGCTATTTGTTATTATGTAGAGATACTAAACCCAAAATGTAAACTTGTATGTAATGCGTAAACTTACAATTATTGTGTTGATTTTTTTAATACAGTGAACCATTTGTGATATTTTCTGGTGGACTGTCATATGATAAGGCTTGTCGAAGACCAAGTTTAACAATCATGCATGGGAAAGCAATTACAGTTCTAGAAATGGATCACCCTATAGTTGATTTTTTAACTCTTTGTGAAACCCCATATCCAAATGGTGAGTTTATTAAGCAAAACACAGTTATGAAAAATATAAATGAAGTAACCTGCTCTCACACCTTAATTCCATTGCAGGGAATTCTACTCTTATCATCATCTCAAGAAAGCCACATTAATGAAAGTAACTGAAACTTGTTTGCATTCTCAGTGTAGGAACTGAGTAATGAGTGGACAATAAAGCATGCATATATCTCCAGATATAAGCTTGAAATGTGAGCTAGTGTGAAGAAATATGGTTATTAATCAAACATATATGCTTATCTTTCTGACATTTTCTCGAGGCTGAAAATCTACAGGTTGTTACATTATTGAAGACTAAACTATTGCTTAACCTGCTAAAAAGTTCTTACACTTCAGCCTGAATCAAACTGTTGAAAGTGTTTTGCTGCATGTTGTGGGGCTGCCAAGTTCTGAAGTACATTTACAGAAAACTCCAGAAAGTAAATTAAGACTTTAAATCAGAAAGAAACAAAATTTAGCATTTTAAGCCCTCAGGCAGAAAAGTAAAATAATTCTTATATACATAGCTCAGTGAAATACGTATACACTTTATTAAGTGGGGTTTTGTATTTGCTTCAATCTCATACAAAAATTCAATCGTCAGTAATCAAAGTTCTTTTGGAGCTTCATTTAGCTGTGTCAGATACAGTGAACTGTTCCCAGTACTAAGGTATCGCACACTGATATTTTAAAAATTTGGTTTACCCTGTGTTATTCATAGCCTTGTAGAAAAACAGGCCACAGTTAATATTCATCCATACCTGTCCTGCAAGGAAGTTAAATCAGTCACTGTCAGTTTACTGAGGCTTTAGGCATCAGCTATTTTAAGTGCGTACTCTGAGCTCACACATACTGGAATGGTTTGCTGCTGCTGATAGTTGTAATTTCATATTTACATTTTTCAGATTAACTTTTACCCTGTGTAAATTAATACACCCTGTGCCTCCAGGGAAGCATTTATTTGTCGATTTAATTACTTTTTTTTAATAAATGAAAAAAGCATTAAATACAAAAATAAACGCTAGAATTTCCTAAAGAGTGTACAGAAGGAAGGAGCGTGTCAGTATCTGAATTGAACACAGCAGGCTTACGGGATTTGTTCAAAATCTTCCTTTGGAATTGCTTTGGAAATGAGGGCTTTATGTATCATCAAGTGTACTGGACCAGCCGTTCACAATCTGATTTTGAAGTACAGTTGTACACAGTTACTACTGGACACATTTTCTGTATAATAATTGGATTCAGCAATGCAGTTATAGATGCAACATACTCATATTCTATTTCTTTACTTTCAATATACCATCATGCTGGCATGCTATGTCAATTCTGTTTCTGCTGTGTATGCTGATCAGCAAGAGTGCCCAAAAGTAATTTTTCAACTCCTGTCTGGCCCTAGTTTACAGATACGTCTAGTTTGTGGATATGTCTAGGATTTGTACCTTAGTACTTTTGTTTAACATGCTGTGAATGTTTAGAAAACATAAATATAACTTGCTTGTTTAAAATTACTAATGGGAGAATGCTACGTCTTTTGGAATTGATTCCTTCCTCACAGAATTTCAAGAACCCTATGCTGTAGTTGTGCTTTTGGAAAAAGATCTCATTGTTGTTGACCTGACACAAAGCAAGTAAGTATGAAGTTATTTGTGTATCTTAACTATCCAGCAAATGGTGATAAAAATCCCAATGCCAATGTTATCATGCAACATCATTTTGCTATCCAAAATCACTCACTCTTGGTAATAATTCATTCTGTATGTTTCCATCCACCTTAAGAGCCAAGATCAGCTAATTAGCAGGAACTCGTGATAGTATTTGTTCTTAAATTTGGGAGTGAATATAAACCTGCAGTCTCTCCAGCATAGCCCTCAAACATTCACGCAACATCAAAGTTAAGTAGTGCTTTGTCACATGCTGAATTATGACCTGAATGTGTGTTTTGGAAACCAGATTCAACTACTGCTTATATGCATGCCTAACTTCACTAGACTCCACAGGGACTACCATTTAAGTATGTACTTAAATATCTTAATAAATACTGGCATTGATTTATAGTGGCTCTGTGGGTTTATTTCATGATTTGGTTGCTGGTATAAATGACAAATGTTTCTGTCATATCAGGATCAATATTCATATCAAAGAGGAACTATACATCATGTAATGCAGCATTCAATTCTTATTTACTTTGTTCTGCCTCCAACACAAACAGTAATGTACATCCACATTCACACTGATATAAATAGAAACAGATTTTGTGTATAACATCTTGAAATATTTTAAGTGAATCTTCTGATCTTACTTTCAAGAATAATTCGAATCATCTCAGCAATATAAAATGTATGTAACTGAAATCAGAAACAAATTTCCTACATTTTTGAATTGTGAATAACATTATGTAATATGCTAGAAGTGAAGCCTTCCTTCTTATCAAATCATCCAAACTGATGGAAGTGAGAAATAAACTGAGATCTACTTCATCTGTTATTGCAATTGTTCATTGTAGAATCAGTATTCTACCAACCCAATGAGCTAAGATGCTCAGTATGAAATTCGCAGTTGTGTAAGTAGTTCTTGGGTCATAGTATATATCACATCGGTGAACCTGAAGCTTCTAGAAAATCTATTACTTCTGCATAAATAAGATTATGAGATGTTGGGAAAAATTAGTTCCTAATTTTCATTCACAAAAATAGTCCTATTAGCCTTAGGAACTATTCACCTGAATAGGTATTTACATTACAAGGCAATTCACACTAGTGGAATTTTTGTATCTTCATTTGAGTAACTACACATTTTTACTGACTTTAAAAACAATATATATGTTTGAATAAATAAGGGAAAATGTACTTTATTAGAACTTATTTTATTTAGATTCTGTTATACACTTTAATATAGGAATATGTTTTCTATGGCTCAATGTGTCACAGTGCTTCTAATAAATTGTCTTCCTTAACTAGTTTTCCAATCTTTGAAAATCCATACCCTATTGACATTCATGAGTCACCTGTTACCTGCACAGAATATTTTGCGGACTGCCCTCCAGATTTGATTCCTGTACTCTATTCTGTAGGAGCAAAACATAAAAAGCAAGGATACAGCAATAAGGTAAACAAAACCAATATTTTTTTAAACAAAAAAGTAGATGTACAACCTATGTTTTTGTAACATATTACCAAATTATTTTCGTTTTATTTCTTTAATAATCACTTTCGAGTTGGCCCAACCAGCAGCTTAGCAGTATGCTTATGACCTGGTATTTGTCCTTCAGAGACACTATCACTTAAGCACGACCATTAATGACCATTATATAGGAATTAATCATTAGGCTGCTGGAGTTATGCCAGATCAGACAGAGTTAAAGGAAAGCCATCAGTGTGCAATTCAAATTTGTATGGGCAAGTTATCAAAGAATAAAGTGAAAACATGATATGTAAGAGAAGTTAGCAGAAGATCTTCAGTGAAAGTTGAGGGCTGATAGCACGTCTGAGAATTTTATTAAATACATATATTAATAATTATTGTATTTAGCTACCAAAGACTTAGTGTAATGCTTTTAGAAATAGGACAAGCTGCAGAAATCAAAAGAGGAAATGCAATCATTTTATAAATTTCAAGCATTAATCTAGTTTATGTTTTGACTAGAGCTAAACCATCATAATAAATAAATTAGAAAAAATATCGGGTAAACAAATCAGACATCATCAGTTTTCTATTCATATTAACAGAAGTATTCTCCTTGGAGCTGCCTTGTTTTCCATGATCTGAGAAACTGGGCTGTACCTACTCCTTTTGGATTTTGATTCAGCAAAGTACTTCAGAAAATATTTTTTTCTCTTATTTGAATTTGTCTGCTCATCTACCCTTGCCTCACATACATAGTCTCCCAAACTTTTCATCACCTACCTGTATTCATGATCCTCTTGCTTTATTTGTGCACATACAAATATACACTCTAAATGTACGTAGCCACTCATTTGCCACCCACACATTTTTGTACCCACAAGCATCCACACCACATAACAAGTTTGTGTTCCCAGGCTTCTTCCACCTGCTCATATTCTGCACACATCCTCACCCACTCTCCCGTATGTCATCCTCCACATGCTCTGTCCTCTATCCATACAGATCAAGCTTTAGGCACAACATTTTACTCTACTAGCCTGGACTAAGGAAGAGGAGTCTTGCCACTGGTAAACAAAAGGCAGAGAAGAGATGATGATATCTCATGGCATCGTGCTCAGATATTTGTTTCTGGGCCAGCTTCCTCAGTAGTCTTCGTCCTCAAAACAGTCTATTCAATGTCCCGTAGAAGCTCCAAGAATCAAGCAATCTGAAAAGAGCAGCTGTACTGTTACTTGTCCCTCTAGTTCCAGTTTTGGATTGCTGAGTGTTAGTTGTGCAGAAATAGTTCTAAAAACTTAGAACTTTAATTGATAACGTAAAAGTGTTATTAAGTTTCAAACACCTAATTGAGAATATGAAAGTGTCAATAACCTTTACATGCCTTGAATGTCACACATTTCTGTTCCTTTTATGAGTTGTATTGCTCTTTGGAGGAAGGTGTTGTCTGCTCCTGAGTTTAAAAATCAACCAAACAAGATTGATTAGAATTAGTTCTCTGTACTCTTGTTGTTTGTTTAGGAGTGGCCTATCAGTGGCGGAGCATGGAACCTTGGAGCTCAGACATATCCTGAAATCATTATTACAGGGTGAGAATGTAACTGGGGATTGATACTTTAAAAATGTTAATATCCACAGGTTTTGATTTTGGGTTAGCCATAGATAAGAGTTGACCCTTCACCAAGTATACGTATCCTGGCCTCTTCATCTGAGGTATGTTGCTTTTTTCCCCCTCGTGCTGAATGCCCACAGAAATTCCCATTTGCTGTAGGAAATAGAACTTTGTACTCAGGGGTAAACCACCATTAAGAGTTATCATTTGAGGCCCCAGTGTTAGAGAGCAAGACTATATGCTTGGGAAGGTGGGGTCTTTGGAAAGGAGAATTCATTGCAGGAGAAAATTTTGGCCTTAAAGGTCATAGAGAGTAGATTTAAAAAGACGAGCAGCTGGTTTTCTATAGCTGCTGTCCTTTGGCCTTCTGAGGACTTTATATCTGGGGGTGGTTTGGGACTTAATTTTAAAACCCCTGCGTTAGTTGAGTTGAATGTCGTCTTGTGAGGCAACCAGGCAGCAAAAAGGTGTAGAAGGGCTCAGATTGTAGTAGAAGCCCCATGAGCAATGCCTGATGGATTTTCAAGAGGCCGTGCTATGAAACAGAAGCTATTTAGGGATGATGCACTGTGTGTTTCCCTCTGGTCTCAGCCGTGATGATGATAGCAATATATTTGTTAAATTCTTATTATCAATGATACTTAACATGTGTTTTTAAAAATAAAATTATGGTGTGTGCAATAGTACCAGTAAGGTGATGGAGAGTTTGTTCTAATTTTAAACGGAAATGTCTCCTTTCTCCAAGTTTACTTCAGGATGATTTTATGTCAATAAAAAGAACACAGCTGTAATATTTGGTCCATCCTTTCAAATTTCTTTATACATGATGTTTTTAGAGTGAAGAAGCTTGATGCAGGCCCACTGCAAAGCCAGAAGTACTGTAACTTAAATTTGCCATTAGTATGGGAATTAATTTCCTGCTGTTGTGATCTTAAAATTCAGTGAGCACTTAGTTCTCTGTAAGAAATGCCTGGAAAAAGTGTTTTATTAACTCAATGAAACTCATAACAAAGTATTTCCTTATAGTTAATGTATATATCATCATATGCTGTTAGTAAGGTATGGAGAGTTACCACATGAATAAAAATAGAGATTTTCTGCTTATATTTATCACTCACTGAAATTAGGTGTTTTAGAATTGAATCTTGTTTTAACACATTTACTTTTTATATTTTTTTAAGCCATGCAGATGGATCAGTAAAGTTTTGGGATGCTTCTGCCAGTAAGTTTCTAAAGTTCACTTTTATATAATGCTGACAAATCACACACACACGTATATAAAACATGGTATTTAACAGTATGAGTAGTAATACCTTGGATGATATAATTAGGAATAATGAGGTGAAATTAAGTAATTTTTTATTAAATTAAGAGAAAAAAAAACCACTACTAATGAGATCTAATAGACAGAAAAGATTGAAAGTCTTTAAGAGGAGTAGAAACTCCAGATTCAACATACCAAAATCTATGAAGGATGGAGTGTTGGTAAAAAATACCTAGGGCATAATCCTCTTGTGTGTATAAAAGAGTGGACTCAATGAGATCTAGTTAATTATTTCCAGTTGTCATGTGTCTTCATTTCTGAGTACAATATAGTATTCTTTATGGCTAAGTGAAAATGAAATAATAAAATACAATAATACATCTCAATATATGTCTAGTCTGCCGAGGGTGGAGAAGAATTAAATCTCTTGTCCAGTCTTAAGTACTAGGAAATAATTGGTAAGCATTTCCACTCATATAAGCAGGAAAAAGTTTCAGAAAATATTTGTTCCATACCTTCTGGGTTATAACTACACTTACCAAAAACCAGCATTTTCCCTTACAGAAAAGACATATGGTACTTACTAGTAAAATATATTTATTGAAAGTAGATACACATTTTGGTTGAAAGCTAAAATATTCTGGTTCAAATAATCACTTATTTAGAGAGTTGGTGTGAGGCACTAGACCTTGTCTTGTGTGCATTTCATTACATACTTACATTCTTGACCAGAATGTGCAAATGCAGGCATTAAAATCAGGGTGAAACCACCCAGATTATTGCAACACCCCAAAGCATTTACTGTATGCACTGCACAGGAAACAGTGTGCTAATCATTTCCTCCACGACTCTGGCAGAGATGTGGAAAGGAAAAGGGAATATGATCATAACCCACTAACTAGTATGTACATGCTTTAGTAGAAATTTTTCTTAAAGGTAAAAGCTTAGAAGATCGTGAATATTGACAAGCCTTTGACAGTACTGGTACTTGCAGTGCATCTCTGATGGCCTAGTCTTAGTCCTGCTTTTCAGTGCATGTGCTGCATTACTGGTACCCTACTTTGTTTCAATTATTACAAAGTTTTATTATTTACAAGCTCTTACATTTTTTTTATAGAGTTCAAATTTCATTTCAGATTTCACTGCATAAATAATAGTCTAATGGTATTTGAAGACACAAAATGCTTTTAGATGTACTTTAGTTGTGTAATTTTGTATATGAAAGCACAGATTTGTGGGAGACAGGAAATTGCTAAGCCACTGAAGCCATTTTCCAACTGTATTGCTCCTCAAATCCATTACTGTTTCTTATTTGCCCTTGTGCAAATGGTACCTAGTAATTCATGGAAGCATAGCACATCTCACCTTGCTTGTATCCTACAATTCTGTAATTCTTCCAATCCAGTCCCAGTACACATGGTGTCACAGTGTCTGATTCAAAGTGCCACTGTAGATTTGCCACTGAGACTGAGGGCATCCTGAGGCCTCTTCCACCACCATAGAAGGCAGGAAGAATTATGTATTCATTACAGAAGCGCTTGCTGTAATTTGTGAAAATTCAGTAGCATTTTACATGCTAAAACTTTAAAAAATATTTAAAAATCTTATATGCTAAAACTCGTGGAACATATATACACTGCAGAATGAAAATGTAATTTTGCTATGTTTGTGGTTACATAACTAAAATACCATTCCTTAATCTTTTTTTTTTTTGGGGGGGGGGCTTGTTGCACAAGCTAGCTAGGCTGATCTACCACAATTACACTCACTTTATATATGTATACACCTTTATATGTGCTAAGTCTGGCTGAATTTTTCTGATTTATGAAGGTATAAATTAATGCCACTGATTTAAAACTAGTAAAAACAGAGAGGAATGTCAATAAAACAAAATTGAGTTAATTATAATCCCTCCTTTACTTCCAAAATTTACTGTGTTGGAGTTTAGTCTTGACAAAGGCTTGTGAACAATAAGATTTTATGTACAGATATAAATACAGATACACTTATTAGTCAACAGATTCAAAGCATTCTAGAACTTGTGTTCGTTCAGAACGTCCTTGTGTTGCAGGGCCATCAGAATACTTCCCTAATGTTTTTTTTGTTGAAGTGCCATACAGTTTTTACATTCTAGCAAGTCAATAACCTCAGACAAATGAAATCTTAGTTTCCCATTTCACTAGGAAAAGAGCAGCATTATCAGAGCCTAATTATGGACATACCAGTTAATGTACACCTTTGACATCCTGTCCCAGGAAGTATTCCACAGACAAATATCCATTTTGAAACTATTAGTTATACATCATAGCAGTACTGTGTACCAGAATAATATCTGTGTTGTATAATACTCATCATCTTCTCCTCTTAGGCCTTCCTAAGATTCTTTGCTGTAACACAACTGAAAAGAAAATGTGAACCGGGGAATTTTATGACTGATTTACTTCATGTTATTGATTATTTTTATATGTTTTAATATATTCCAGTTACTCTCCAGATGTTGTATAAATTAAAAACATCAAAGGTCTTTGAAAAACAGAAAGTGGGAGAAGGAAAAGCAACAGCTGAGATTGTGGAAGAAGACCCTTTTGCTGTTCAAATGATGTACTGGTGTCCTGAAAGCCGAATTTTCTGTGTGGCGGGAGTTTCTGCATATGTGGTTGTTTACAGGTTCAGCAAACATGAAGTAAACACTGAAATTGCAGTAAGTCCTTCAGAATCTTACTCTTATAAAAGACCATAATTTCTAAATCAAATTGCCTTTCTGCATCTGTGCTCACATACCTGAATAAAATTAATATCAAACTGTATAAATATAGGTTTAAGGACATTCATTTTTAAACCTTTAGAGCCGAAATCTTTATTATGTTACTGACAAAAGTCTGACTTAGTTTCTGGGAGCCAACTCTCCACTTCTTTGCTTTAATAATGACATACAGTATTTTGGACATAGTTTTCTTTTAAGGCTTTATGATAAAGTAAATCTCTTGTGCTTAACCTGCTGTATATTTTTTTCTCTAAAAATACTAGCTGTTGTATGTTTTTTACCAGATGATGTATATTGTGTAATAGTTCTCTTTTTACCTCAAGTATTTAATCTCTTTAATTTATGTTCATAGTGTTTCTACCGCAAGGGGACTGAAAAGCTTTAACAAAATAAAGAATTCTTTTTTTTTTTCTGGCTTATGCTGACTTTATTTCCCTAAGAATGGACACTATATGAAATGCCATAAGTCTAATCATTTGATGTTTTCCTAAGCTTTCTGTGGCTTTTTCCTGTACAAACACTCCTTTTTTCTGTCTTCGTGTCTTAAGCAGTCACCTTATTCCAGGCAGAATCATACAGTTCATGTTCTTTTAACTGCATTGCAGTCACCTTATACTTATCATTGTTGTACAGCGAGCCTGACTTTGGTTTAAACCTTGCATTTTTGCACAGCAGCCACAACCACTGCTAACAGTGTGGCTGAACAGCATTTATAATGTACAAGGTTCTTTCTTACATCTAAGAAGTTTAACAGTAGGCTACTGTTAAGGCAAAGCCAAACTAACCATAACTGTCTCCACTTTAGCCTTGCCATTCTGTGGTGCTGGAGAACAATTTACAACTTCAGATGCTCTCTTGCCAGAAAGTATTTCTTTGCATCTGCCAGCTCTCAACAAACCCCAGGGGCTGACCCAAAATTTCCCTTTCATTTTCCACCTTCTCTTATTTCAGTTATTTTCCTTTTCACACTATTTTAATGTATTTTAGAAAGTCTATAGTTCTAGCCTGGAAAAACATGTGTCATTCTGGGCCTGTAGCCATGTGCCATCTGGTAAGGAAATTCATTACCTATAGCTGTTCTGTTGTCTTCCTCTCATTTTTTTTCCCCAGAGGCAATTATTAAGCTAGCTCAACGTATTCTCTCAGGAAAGTTTTAAAACTAATGAACAGTAATTTCACATTACTGACCAGCTCATGTGTAATGCTGCTAAAATTACTACATTTCAGTATTCTTACATTGTTCCATGGCAACAGCATGTTATCTTTTACTGGCTATCGTTTAATTTCTTTATTTTCCTGTCTTCTACTTTTGTGGCTGAATTGCATCAGAGCTGGTATTTTCTAAACTGTTATAATGCATGCAATTTAACAGTTTCTCAGATTTCATCTGTAATTAAGAAGAATTTATATCAAAAATTGTCCTCTGAAGATTTGCTTTAGTATTACCTGATCTTGGTGGCATAATCACTGAGTTCCCCTGGGTTTTGTGCATCCCTAAGATGGGCCTTGTCTTGGTTTCCGCATTTTTGCTGCAGGCATTCAAGTCTTCACTCTGAAATGTTTGGGATTTTTTTTTAATAAAAAGTATGGGAGTCTTTAATGGAATATGTACCTGACTTCAGGCTGCCTCCTTTGCCTATACTGAGGTTGAGCTGGTCAGTTTTAGGATTTTTTTGCTGCCTGAGGTGAACCCAAGTTCTAGCACTTAACATCCTCCCTTCTCTAGCAGCCAGCCTGAACTCACTTCAAATTCAGTTCTACACATCCCAGCATTTTAAAAAACCCTTGTTGGTTTGATTGCCTGCCATGAGTCTTGTAATGCTATTGCTGTGGTAAAATGAGAAGTATGGAGTCTACTCAAAGGTGTCTCCATATAGCAGGGAAGTCTGCTGCAGAGTATGCCTTAGAGACATAGGCTGTGCCCAAATTTTCCTGAATAGAAGTATTATTTGCATTACTTCATGTCAGATTCTGGAGGCAAGTAGCATTCATGAGACAAATTCTGCATCCAATCCAACCTTGGAGTCATTGTCATGAGGTTATATAAAAAGCATTTGCTGCCATTGTTTTTTTCATCTGAATCTAGCCCATCCTGCCTCAGAAGGATAGCTAGGTCTCTACTAAACATGATCATTTTCTCAGTGAATGATCTTTCCTCAGTGAAGCTCCTCTTCAAAGCTCTAGACAAGAACCATAGGAAAAAAGTTTACACGAGTTTGAATGTAGAAAGGAGCCTAGTGATGGGATCCTCCAAAAATGTCTTTACCGTGTGTCAGATTACATTGGTACAATAGGTCTGCATCCCTTCCAAAGTCCAATCAAAGAAAAGACCAAAACAAAAAATTCAGCCATGTTACTAGCCTAAATTTTTCCTTCTCTCTGCAAATAGATGATAGCTAGAACTTAAAAAAAAAAATAATTTCAGTGGAAATAGGAAGACGCAGATTAAAACAGCCAAAGAATAATGATGCATTTCTAACTTGGCAAGCAGAAGATCATACTCTTCAACAGTCACTCCAGTCCTGCATGAAGATAAAACAGCATTATAAATTGTATTGGTCAGGAGAAATTACTTGCAGGCAATTAGATTTTCCTGAACTCAGTATTTCACTCTTTAGTCTTTGAAGGCAAATGTTGTCCGTCCATTTCCATGGATTTCACGAGGAGAAAACAAAAGTTAAATTTTGAGAAAGGACCCTTTCTCTTCTGGTTGAGCAGAATCACTTCTTTCTGAAATCTTTTGCATTATTTATGTGATTGAGAAGTAAGAGAGCTTTCAGGACTGATCTTCATCTCCCAATTCTCATAAAATTTAGGTGTTTTCTTAATCCCCCTTCTGGGACAGATGATGTCTCAGTGAGAGACCACTAACTAAGATGGAGTTTGCAGTGTCTACATCTGCAATTGCTTCTGATCACTTCAAGGTACCAGCACTGAAATTACTATTCAGCTAGTAATCCCCTTATCTCTTCAAGGGCTGTACCTTTGGTTTTATTCTTTCCAAAATGGCGATCTCCTTAAAAAAATTGTGAGGTAGAAAGAATTGTGAAATATTTACTATGGTTCTTTGAGATAAATACTTATGTAGCTTTGAGCTTCCTGTCCAGTTTCCCCTGTGTTTTGGAATCCTTCAGTTAAGGTTTCCTGAGTGGATGAGGTTCCTGCATACTGGCTAAAACCCATCTTGTAGAGACTGTCTTTTACTAGCAGTAAGGAGTCAGACTTGATGATCATTCTTTTAACTGAATTTGATTAGGAAATAAATAACAGAAAACAGGCAGAACATTTTCATGGCATTTGCTCTAAATTATGCTTTCTTATGCCGAAATATTATTTAGTCGGGTGTGATTAACTTCTCTTTTCATAATAAGTTCTGGAAAGTTGTATTCTTGCCTTTCACTTACAAAAAAGGCATGAAGCAAAGTCAACACTGGAAGAATATACCTATGTATTTCTTTGTAGAATAGGTAACTTGTTACTATCTGATGTTGCTGTTAGGCTCTATAATTAACAAATGACCTTATTCTTTGCCCACAAATGATAATGATAAACATGGGGATTATTTTTTTTAAAAGGCTTACTGATATGTGTTTGCAAGTAACAGAACTTTCAGCAGCTTTCTGCATTAAATTATAACTGAGCTCTTTATTTATTTAAGTCATTAGAGGTACGACTTCAGTATGAAGTAGAAGATATCATTACTCCTGAACCGGAAATAATTCCTCCATTTCCAGATGCCTCCTCCCAGCTTCCTTCTTTAAAGAGCCTTTCTGGCAGTACCAACACGGTAGCATGTGAAGGAACGATGAAGGATAGTATCCCGTGTCTTAGGTAAGTCTATGCCATTGTTCAAAGATTTAGCTTTCTGGAAACAATTCCTATCTGTTTTATTAACAGTCCCTCAACTATCAAGAAAAGGAGGTTAATCGTATGCATGCAACACAAAATGAGATGAAACCAGAATATGGAACAAACAAGAGAATTAAGGCAAAATAATTAACAAGTGATTTTAAAAGCCTAGAGCTAATTATGGAGAAGATAAACTGTTACAGTCAAGATTTGATTGTAATTTTCCAGTATGATCTAGGAGTAAAGCTTCGTTTCATTTCATGCTCACAGTTTTGAATGGAATGCAAGCACTACAGAGCAAATCAAGGAATTTCTAAGGAACTTTTTATTTTCTTAGTTCACAAAGAGCCTACCATAAAGCAGACATGTACAAAGCTGTCCTGTCTTGATTAATTTGTTGTAACACTAAAATCTTTCTTTGTGAAAGAAGTATATGCATTTTATGGTGTGTGAGGAGTGGAAACTGTGTTCATACTCGTGAAATAATCTTTAAAATATGAACTATGTGGAATTATATGTATGTTTAATCTTTAGAAAGAAGCAAATTGTCTGCTAGAGTACACATTGTCACTGTTTGGAGTAGATTAATATGTTCTTACTAATAAGGCAGATAAATTATGGGTTCGAATAGTTTCAAAACAAAATTATGTACAAAGCTCCATAAACTGTAATTTTCCAGCAATTATGGTGCACTGCTGATAACAACTGCTCTCATTTTAGTGAATTCATTATTATTTCAGTCTAATCATTATTAAATATTTTAAATGGCTCAATTATTTCAAAAGGAGCTTAAATGAACATTGCCTGACTTTGCAGATACTTTGGGCTGTATTTCCTCTCAAAATAATATTAGCATTTAAAAGCAATATCATGACACAGTTCTTGTAAAATTAACAGGTTTTTTTCACATCCTGTTCATCTGTCCACCTCATTCGGTCAGGCAGCTGAACCTCAGACCTCAGTTTAATCATTAATGTGAACCATAAGAATCAATAGAAGAGGCAGAGAGAAGTTATTACAAAAATTTTAATGTGAAATCTATTTATGACATTGAAATCAGAATATAATAGATTGTTTCCATGGCTAAGATTTTCCCTTAAGGAATTCTTATTTGATTTGGTCTGAGGAGGAGAGAAATTGTTGATCTTGGAGTTAGAAAAGCTGTAATGGATCAGCAGAGGTTCACCTGGTTAGTTTTTACAAGTTTGCTTAACTCCATATAATCTCACATTAAGCTGGCCGATTGATTTTTGTCCCATTTTACACAAAGTGAATGTAAACTTATTTTGACAGAGAAGTGACTTTTTCAAAGTCAAAATAATTATACGACTAGAACTGCTGGCATACTCCCTCTTCCATTTGTGTAAAAGTGTACTGTGTGCACTCTCATCCTTTTCAACAGGGAAAGGCATGGAAATATCCACGCTTTTCCCCCAACACTTAACCAGGTCCACATTCCTTGTCTGTCAGAAAACTTCTGAATTTATCAGAATTATGATGATAAAATGAAAGTAGTGCTGGAAACACAGAAAACCCAGTAAAGAACTGGATGGTGCTGTTGGCTTTATGTGCAAGTCACTCAGGTGAGCAGCAGTACAGAATCCAAGGTACAGTGATAATAACATAAAGCTGCAGCCACCTGAACATGGAGAGCGAGTGCACAATTTGAACTGTATTGATAATCCACATAAAATTTTATATACAGACTAGCTCTTAATATTGGCTCCATTGCCTTTATTTTCGTATCTACTTCTCAACCTCGTTACAGCAAATGGGTGGCACTCCACACTACATAACTTTTGCTAGGCAGAAGCCAGAATGACTGAACGTGTTTATGTCCGCAAGTAGGTACTGGAAAGAAAGCAACTGAAGGGACTGAAGTAATGAAAACTTGGCATTTCTCTGAAATCAAAAGTAAATGTTACCAAGGGAGGCAAGCAGCAGTGTGGAATACATATTGTTCTTGCTTATTTCAGAAGATTTATAATGAAATATGCAGCTATAAGAAACTGATGTAGTTGTGATTATGCAGATAGATATTTTTGATGTAAACACTGTAATCAAAGAGCTGTGCCCAAAATGTCATTGTTCCCAGACTTTTAGCATCAGCTCAAAATTAGGTCATTCAAGGGTTTTCACAGTAGTTCCAAATAGCTCCAAGATGATAAAGAACTGTGATTATCTCATGAAGAAAACTAAAAACCAAAACTTTGCAATTCAGTGTAGCATAACAGGAGCATGTCAAGGAAATCACTGAAATACCTACATCCCTACTGCACACACTCCTGCAGTCTGTTTAGGCTAGTATACACACTTCAAAAAAAAAGCAGTCCAAAACAAGGTGAAGCAGAACTAAATATCGATATTACTGTTCAAGCAAGATGGTTAGTGAAACCAGGGAATTAGCTCAAACATCCTCGAAGAGGAGAGTGTCACAGAAACAGGGGAATGACAAACTGAATCATGAAATCTGAAACTATTTTGCTCTGGTCTTATGGTCTTCTACAAATTATTCTATGCTTAGAGAAAATCCCTGTAGAAAAAAAAAAAACAACAACCCAAAAACAACTATCCATCTTACCAAAAAAGATACTCAAATTTGCAGTGAAAAAGAGAGAATTAAAGGTGTTTGGTTTTTTGCTCAGGTACCAACAGTCTGAAAGAACACTTGGAAGGCATTTCTTCAGCATTTTGTTAAAAACACATTGGAAAAGTAATAGCATCATAAAACCATGTTTTAGAGGTTCAGAATTAATTCTGAAGTTTGTTTGGAAGAAAAAAAGGATAAACTCATTGCCGTGACAGATATCTGTTAGAACTCACCGTAGCAGCGTGCTTGACTCTTGTGTTCCCCCACATCATTGGTTATCCATTTGAAAACATGGATGCAAAGTATGTCTGCTCAGCTGAAAGGGCATTAGACTTGCTTCTTGGATCTCATCTACCTGTTTTATGTAACATTTTTAAGGGCAGGAGCTAAAAACTGAAAATGGGGTGTGAGATGGAAACACCACCACTAGTATGCCTCTTAAAGGCTTATTCACAGATGTAAGAAGTGGAAGGTCCCAATCACAAAGATACTCTGTAGGACTGTTTGTATAAAATACTCAGCTTCTGCTTCCTGTGAAGTTTCTTTGGAAACAATACGTGTTCATTGTATACAACTCATTTGTAGTTTCCATTTTCCCAGTCTCCAAAGACCCCTCTCCCTTAGCGGCTTGAGTTCACAGATGTTCATCCCTTTGTTCTGACTGTGAATACTCCTGGGTAATCCTGGACTTCATTGACCTTATGGATAGTGTCACTTCAGAAATGCTCTTGGATATGTATCGTATGAATAAAGGAAAGGGCAAAACTTTAATGCCAGCAGAACAGGTAACAAAGTGCAGAACTGAACAGAGGTTTGCTGTTAATAGAAAACAACAATACAAACCTATTGCCAGCTGTTGTGGGTTGACTTTGGCTAGATGCCAGGTTCCCCCTCAGCCACACTGTCACTCTCTCTCCTCAACAGGACAAAGGAAAAAAATAAGATGAAAAAGCCTTGTAGATTGAGGTAAAGATAGGGAGATCACTTACCAATTACTGACAGAGGCAAAAAAGGTCAACTTGGGGAAAAGCAATTTAATTTATTACCAATTAAAATGGAGTAGGATGGTGAGAAGCAAAAAACCAAAAATTAAAACACCTTCACTTTTTTCCAACTTACCCCTTCATTCCCAACTGCTATACCTCCTCCACGCTGAGCAGCACAGGGGTGACAGGGAATGGAGGTTGTGATCAGTCCATGACAGTTCCTCTCTGATGCTCCTTCCTGTTCACACTTTTTCCTGCTCTGGTGTGCGATCCCTCCCACAGGGTACAGTCCTTCAGGGTAAAGCTGCTCCAGCATGGGCTCTCTACAGTTTCTTCAGAAAATATCCACTTTTTCCACCGTGGGGTCCTCCGTGGGCTGCAGTGTGGCTATCTGCTCCACCGTGGTCCTCTGGCCCTCTCCACAGGCTGCAGGGGAACCTCTGCTCCCGCACCTGGAGGACCTCCTCTCCTGTTTCTTGTCTCATCTTGGTACTTGCAGGGCTGTTTCTCACATTTTTTAACTCATTTGCTTCTGGGCAGCATTTTCTGCCCTTTCTTAAGTTTTCTTTCCCAGAGGTGCCACCAGTTTGGCTGAGGAGCTCAGCTGTGTCCTGCCATAGGTGTGTGGCTGAGACAGCTGGAACCAGCTAGAATGAGGCTGTGTCCCACAAGGGACCACCTTCCCTTACAGAGGCCACCCTTGCAGGCCCCCATCCCAATGCCAAAACCTTCCCACACAATTTGTATACTCCACAAGTCAGAGAGGGGGAAAGATTAGAGCAGGTCAGGGTCATGAAGGGGAGAGGAGATTATTATGTCTTGAGATCCAAGTGAAGGTCTCATACCTCATCCTAAAATGCTGCATGTATTCTGCTCTGATATCCAGATACGCAATACCCAGATACGTGATCCCATATCCCCAGGCATAATAGGTGTACTCTGATAGGGCTATGGAGTTTGAGGAGGCTGCAGGACCTAGGGAAGTTGCGGATGATTGTGAGAGGCATCACACATCTGGCAATAAACTGTTTAGCTCTTTGACCAGCTGCAGCAGCTCCCGCATCACTCGCAGCTCCTGTTTCTGCTGTTCTGTCACTTCAGGCTTGACATAACCAAGCAGTAGTTCCAATAAGCTGCCCTTTGCAAACCTGCTACACAATATGCTTACTCTGGTTTGGTCAACCTGCACTTCAGAAAGTCTTACTTCACTGCTCCCAGTGCTGCTTTTTGACTCCCATCGTTTTTTTGGCATGCTAGAGTTGTCGTATGTTGCTGTATCTGTTGCAGTCTGTCACTAACCATGTTCCTTATGGAAGAAAATGGAAGAGGTTATTTTCTTGCCTCTGACCAGGCAGATGAATCACTGCTCATCTACAGTATTATACACATTGTCATGACGAGAATCCTTTCCAGTTTGGGTCAAGACTGTGGCTGTTGAGTGCTTTCCTTTTGCTCTTGCAACTGCAGCAACCCTGAGTGGGGAAGGGAGGAGTGGTAGTCCAGACCAGTGGCCTGAAGCTCTGTTCTCATAGATGGTCCTGGACAATCAGGAGAGAGGATGACAAGGAAAGAGCATTCCGCTTGCTGAATTGTGCCATCGTGTCTTTCCTATGGCAAGATCCGAGCCAAGTGGTTGATTACTGCTTCAGACAAATGGATATGTAAGGTCTGAGCAGCATGACAGGCAAAATAAATAGTGTGCCAAGTCGCTGTTAAGAAAGTCCATTTAGAAAGGCGGATGAGGAATGCCTTTATCATTAAATAAAGGAAGGTTAGTGAACCCTCTGCAATAGAAATATAAGCAATAGAGCAGAATCTGTGTTACTGAAATGGTTAAACAGTTCAAGACTGTGAGTGTATTTTGAAAAGGCAGTAATCAGAGATGTTGTATCAGATGCAGGTGCCCAGGCATCTATCATGCTTTACTTCAGAGCAAGAAAGTTCCAAAAATACAGAAATGTCCCATTTCAAAGTTTCAGAGGAAAATATTGTAGGTTTTCCACACAGGTTGATTATTCATGATGATTTTTAAGTGTGTGTTATATACTGTAAGAAAATATTCCAAAAAAGGAAAATCCAAACAAAATGATTAAGCAAAAATTATTTTTACTGGCCCTCACCTACATCTTCTCCAGAGTTGCTCTTGTAGGGAATGCCAAAGTTTTCAGATTTGTTTCTACAACAGAAATGAAAGTCAAAGCCTGGAATTCCTCCAAAACATTCCTGTTCTGAGGGGAATGCCTAGTCTCAGTGTAGGGGTATATGCACAGTATGCTTCAAGTGCTAGTACTGCTCTGGTCTTATTAAAGGATTGTGCTCCACTAGTATTTTCTCAAGAGACGCTGTTGTTTTTCATGGCACAGTCTGTTTGTTTGTTCTTATTTTATACCTCTTCTTCTTAGCGTTAAGACTCGACCTGTGCGAATGCCTCCTGGATACCAAGCAGATCTTGTTATTCAGTTGGTGTGGGTGGACGGTGAGCCACCACAGCAAATTACCAGTCTTGCTGTAAACTCTGCTTATGGACTGTAAGTAACTCAAAATTCAGGTCGCATGGGTTTATTGTTTGTTGCACAAAGTAATGTATTTTCCAATTATACTTTGAAGCTTCCCCCAGACATTTAGAGTAAGAATTGCCCAGATTCTTGGGGAAAAAAATATTTGGACTCAAATATTTGAAATACAAGATGTTAAACTGACATTCTTCACAATACTTTTACAATTCCCATTTAAAAAACTGAATCTTTTCACATTATTCTGTCCATCCTACCAAATAAAAATCAATTACCTTTCAAATCTGTAATTTTTAAAGCTATTTTGAAAGCATCTATTAAATACATTTCATAGAAAAAAAGTGATGTGATTGTTAAATGTCATTTCTCATGACATCATATCTTAGTTGGAATTTTTCTTCTAAGAACAGCACTTTTATGTCTGTGTTAATCTCTGTTTGCAGATCTGAAACTGAAAATTAAATAAGAAATATTCAGATGCCCAATTCTGTATGGAAATGCAACTGAACATATCTGTGTGTACTTTGTCTCCTCAGATTCAATTTATTTGCCAATTTTTAATATTTTCTTTCACTGAGAGTCACCGAGAATATTTTCTTTCACTGAGAGTTGCCCAGATATGTTAAAGTGGTTTTATCTGTGGAAGGTGTTACTCTAATAAAAACTACAGGCTACAATGGGTGTTAGGGATCTGACTTTACTGATTTTCACTAAGTCAATTTACTCTCTTCAGACTTGGGAAATATTATGCAGAGCCTTCACGTTTCTGGAAAAAATATTGTCATTTCAGGGCTCCTTTGTCAAGTCTTTGGCCTCAGTTTCTAGACAGTTTCCTATTCATGAACTCCACAAGTTTCTTTTGGTTTACTATGCCTAATCCATTTGTCACTTGTGCAAATTGTTGGGTTTTGCCTAATTTGCTCCCATGCAGGTCTCAGGCCTCAAGGCAGCATCCGACTTGAGGAATAATCACACCATTCTCTCACTTGTAAACTACTCTGACAGGTTGCAGTTCTCCTGGTATTCCCAGGGGTTTCCTAAACCCGCCTGATTCAACCAAATGCTTTGAATTTTTTCCATTGCTTGGAGCAATAGTAGTTTATAGGACAGCCTCCTTTAAAACACCATATACTAAGTACATGAGTGTTTCAGAAATAAATACCTGTATCAGTAAAACAGCCCAATAACCTAAATTTAACTTTCCTACAAAAGCTACCCAGGAAAGGCATATTTCTTTAGATTTCATTTGCAGAGTTTCTTCTCTCTCCCTCTCTCTTGTCTCTCTGTTTTCAATTTGGGCCTATGACAAAGTACAATCCTATCTTTCATCACAATTTTGGTTAATACTTTAGTTTTCTCCTGTTTTGTAGCCTCACAATGAGGAAAGACTGTGCCACTTCAGTCTGAGGATTTGTAATTTTTGCCAGTTGTAGGGTTATTTGGGTTATCATTTGCCTAAATTTTTTTCCTATAATAAAAAGTTTAGCTAGGAGGAAGGCATAGGGTAATAAGTGTATTCTAAAGTATTCTTCCAGTATTCTTTTAATTATCTTGATTTCTGTAACTGTGTATTACAAATAACAGGAACTTAGTGCCCATGATGTTACTGCAGCCATGAAACAGGACTAAAGCGAGACATAAAAAAAGGCATTTATCCGTAGCAAAGACAAAATAGTTCAGACACTGTGAAATTTTTTTTAATATACTTTGTTTACTTTTAACAGTATCAAGCTACAGTTTAGAGGAATTAACACCTGTTTTATTTCTAGTGAAGTGAATCATCAAAAAACTTGTGTTATGAAAGGAAGAAGGAAAAATTTACAAAATGCTTCAATTACAACTGAAGATCTACAAAGTTAAATACAATAACAAATTTCAAATTTTATATTCTAAACTATTTTCTGCTGGATTGAAAGCAGGCTCTGGAAATTTATGACCAGCTCATGTGGTAAAAATTTCCAATCTACATATTAATTATCAAAAAATGTCTGATGAGGTTTTTATGATATTTCTATGAAAGTTGCCCACAGAATAGAACATCTCCTAGCAACTAATCGTATTCATCACTCAGAATTGAGAAATTCATTATGCTTATTTTGTATTTGATTTCATAAAGTCTTGGGTGTTAATAATTTATCTTAAGTCTGATTAATGGTAATGTCTGTCTGAATTTTCTTCTCATTCCTCAGAAATGTTATAAAATTAATGAGCCATTTATGATTTTTCTTGGTAAAGTAGTTTTTTTCAATATAAGAAATATTATATCCATGCTTGTACGTGAACACAGACAAGTTTAGAAAAATGCAGACCTGGAAGTGATGATCCTTTTCGTAAATTTGATGACCACAGAGTGAACGCTCACTAGCTCTTCTTGTGACTCATGTTTTTCAAAATTAATAAAACTCAGATTAATCACTTTCAAAATCTAGACGGCTATATTTTTTGTTCCCTAAAATATTAACAGATGAGATTGACACTTGCAGATTTTTTTTCCTTTGCTTTTCTTCTCCACCTAGAACATGGGGACTTACTAACACAGGAAGTGCTGTCATACTTTATACTGGCAATCTTTTTTACTTCAATATCCTTTCTCTGACAATGCCTGTTAACATAGGCCTTAAAAATAAAATACAATAGCAGAATATGTTTTTACTGTTGTTTATCAGATTATTTGTGTCAAGAAATGTGAAGACTGAAAACACAAATAGGACAGACAGAGTTCCTTTTTGTCCCAGGGAAACTCTTTAAAAATATTTTGTTCTTCTATTAAGCACAACAGGCTCTAGTAATTGCTGAAACAGATACTGCTCTGCATTCATAAAACATGGAGTTTATTCCTTAGTGCATCTTATGATCCTTCCAGATAAGCACAAAATCTTGCCAGATGAAAGTGTATTTATACACCCTTTAAGCTGGTGTATAGTAGTTGCTGCTTAAGCCACAGATCAGTGAAGAGTCAATGGGGGGAAAAAAAGGGTATGTTCACAATATTTCCATAGATGCTACACTAAAGTCAGTGTCAAGTGAAGAGTAAAAAACATGGTGTAGCAACAACCAGTAGAATCTGAGCCACTGTTGTAAATGGTGCTTTAATTTGCAAATAATAAAAACTTGCCTCATTTTCATGCTCTACTTTTTCTATTTGCTATATGGAGCCCTCTTTTCTATAATGAAAGCAGAGACACAAAAGGTACAACACAGGAAATGTTCTATCTACCCTATTTCCCCTTCCTCCATGTCATTGCTTTTCTCTTTCTTTATTGTTTTTCCACACACAAATTCATAAATCTTTAAGATGTTTTCCAACTATATTGAAAAGAGTCAGGTGGAGGTGAGTGCACAGCCCACTTCTAGTGTGAACTGAGTGCTAAAAATATTTTACAGAGCTCTGAACTGACCACTTTAATCACTTTTACGTAAAATGACAGAACTTGATCACAAATGATTCTTAATCTGATTGGGCATGGTTTGGGATTTTGAGTTTACTTGGGGCTGTACCTGCAATCCTTTCTATCTGGAAGTTGAAATTTTAGAATAACTCCTCTTCTGTAGAATAGTTGTCAGTATATAATATTCCTGCTTAACTTAAGTGTCCAACAATGCAGTGTCAAGAATTTGGCCTACGGATCTTTTCAATAGTCATATGCCCTGAGAATTTATTTGTCAGTTATTAAACTAGAAAAAAAGAATCAATTTTGCTTGACTATTTTAATATTAAATCTTAAACATGATTAAAGCTTTAGTGAGAGGCTGTGAGAATGTGAAGCAAGGATATTATCTTCTGAGATACATGGGTTTCCATATGCTGTAGCTAACTTCAGATTTTCTCCTACATCTTACATATAGTAATGTTTAGTGTCTTTTTTGTTTTATTCCTTTTCCCTTTTTCTTGCTTTTCCTTAGATAGATGCATTGTCTTCTTCTTCCCCCCCCTCAACCTCCTCAACTGTTTTAACAGGAATCTATACTGTAGCCATGCTGACTGAGTTGGAAAGAAATGTATAAATTTTTCAGATTTGGGTATCTTCAAAATGCAGCTTAATATATATTTATGATTTATATTTTATTTATACATGTATTTAAATTCATATTTTAGATTATATTTGTGTTTTATATACATGTATAAGCAATTTTAAGATCTACATCCAGATTTGTAGGCTTAATTTACATAACTAGAATTACATTACTAGAATTATATTGTTCATTAAGGCAACATTTAAACATTATTGTAATGTTTTTGCTACAGAAAGGCAATTAAAGTGGGAAGTCTGCTTTCCAGAAAGTCAGTTACTGTTTCAAGAGACAGTTTTATATGGTCAAGATTACAAATCCATAAGAATTATAAAATATAAGCTTTAGTAGTTACCAAAGAAAGTGTTTGTGCAGAATTCGTAATAATAAATAATAATTGTTGTTCGCACAACTTAATCACATATTACTGATATCTTTGAGGAACATTTCTTTTCTCAGAGTGGCGTTTGGAAACTGCAATGGTTTGGCTGTTGTGGACTTTATGCAGAAGACAGTACTCCTGAGCATGGGAACCCTTGACCTCTATGGATCAAGCGACCCCTACCAGCGTCAGCCCCGTTCACCTCGCAAAAGCAGGCAGTTTGCTGCAGGTAGGAAGAAAGTTACTGTGATTATGAGCCTGATATGTTCTTTGGTTTTTTTGCCTGTGGCTTTTTATAGTGCTTTTGAAATGCATGACTATTTGCCAGCCGATGGAGTTTCTATAACTTGACAAAAGAAACCTGACATGCTTTAGGTACTGACACTTTCTCAGAAATAAAATGTTTTATGAAGTTCATGCTTTTGGGATGGAGGTCAGCAAGTAATTCCCTTAGCTGAGTCTGTAAAAGATCATAATGAGCAGAGCAATAAACTGCTTCCCTGGCAGTTTCTTGAAGTGTGGTCTGTGTGCTATTTTCTTTCTTGTTTCACTAAGTTCATACTGATAGGTAAGATTTCAATTTAAATTGAGTAGTGTCTTCTGCCAAGTGCTATTCTTTGGCATTTGAATAGGCAGTTGTGTTTGGAGAAGGGTAACACCTGAGAGACGTGTTATATAGACAGCAAAAGTAGCTATAATCAGCCAATTTGGTGCCAAGGGAATCACATTTGTAAGTCATAGCTATTATTATGGATTGTTTCAGAAATATTAGTCCATTAATGCAACTAAATTTTACCATACACTTTTGGTTATCTAAAAAATTTTACTTGTATGGGATAAAATCAGATGATCTATGTTTCAAGTCTCTACATATTCCATAGTAACATACTGGAGTCATAAACAATTATGAAATGTGCTTTATATAGCTGTGAAGCTTTAGAATTAGATTTAAAATTCTATTTGAAAATGTTAAGTTTTAAATCTAACCATAAAATTACAAAAGCAGCATTTTGAAGTGGGTTTATGACATCAGCATTTTCTTCAGCAGACCCTGCACTAAATCGTCAAATCCTGTTTCTCCATAGAGTCAAATGGAAGCCTTTTTTAATTGGAAATGTGTTTGCACTCCAAAGAGAAAATAAAATTTAGAGAATAAAATGCAAGTGTTCGGGCCTATTTCTGTTCCTGAAAGACCACTTATCTCACTGTCTAGGTGTGTAATCATGACAAGCTTCGTTCTCATCTGTGCCAAGTGTTAAAGATGTGAATTAGGCACAGCTGAGAAGAGAAGAGACAAGCAGCTCTAAGCTACCTTCAGCTTCTCTGCCTGGTTCAGCCAGGCTCACAGCAGCTCCCAAATTAAATTGAGCTTGCCACGTGCAGCGTGCTGCAGAGCCCTGTGTGAGAGGTGGAGGGTAGCTGGTCCAGAAATAGCTGTTATCAAGCACAGTCCGTGCAGGCTTTCTCTGTGTCAGTGACAGTCTTGGCCAGTCCTTTAAGGCAGCATTCCAGTTCCGCAGCGCTGCTAGAATGGAGGCCACTGGGAATAAGTGGCCGCTGAGAAGGAGCACAACGCTTCTAGATTGCTCGTAGAAACTACGCACCTAAAAAAAGCCTCAGCTGCTTTCTTGCCATCCATCCCACACCCTTTATGTTTTTATTTTTCTTGTTATATATCCCAACTGGAAGGTAAGCATCTGCTGAAATTTCTTCACCTTGGCTGTTCTAGATGCTGGTTATGATATCACTTCCTTTCACTTTAGACTGTTTTTTCTCTCTTTCCTCTGCCTGCTGCTGATGCTGGTGTACTGGCATGTTCCAAAGACAACTTTTGCATGCGTGGCCTGTCTAACTTTTATCCAGATTTAACGAAACGGATCCGTACTTCCTATCAGAGTAAGTTCTATAAAGGTTAGGCAAATAGCTTTATCATAATTGGACTATGCCTGACTTAAACCCATGTGTTTGTGCCTTGTAATGTGTTTTTTTCAAACACATTCCGCATGCATGCAAACTTATTACATTTTGTGATGTTGACCATGCTTTATTTTGTCAATTATCTTTATTATACAGATATTTCAAATCTGTTTTCTTCTTCCAAAAGAGTCAATGAGAAAACCTCAGCGTCTTGTGTGGGGTGAATTGGGCCTTAGAAATAATTTTTCAACAATTTTATGTTCCTAATGACAGTATCTTTCTTTGGTTTTATATCCATTTCAGTGTACATCTACTTATATGAAGCATTTCTTGTTTTGCAGTGGCACTACCTGGTTGTAGTTAATTTTTCCCTATTTTCAGAAGAGCAACGTGGCTTGAAAGGGTACCAATTGGATTGGGTGCTGTGAAATTTAAAATTTTAATCTTGGTTTGGTGCTTGAATATTTGGCTTTGGGGAACCATCCCATTCCTCTGATCTTTAATGGGGAATGTAAAGTGGGTGTGAAAAATACACACTTCAAAGAGAGCTCTGAAAATTAATGTTTTTAATATCTTTCAATTTTGAATTATAGTGATACGCAATTTAAATATTAGTATTCATCACTGCAGAATGTGATGAACAAAGCTATAATTAATTTTGCAAAAAATTACTGTTCGACAGATGAGCTGTATGTATTTTAATTAACTGCAGTGCTTATATGTAATTAGGTCTCCAGGATGCCTCTTATTCATTTCTTTTTAAAGTAGTTTTTGCAGAACAACTGGATAGGCAGTTTTACATTAAATACTCAGTATAGGCAAGATAAAGGGGTGGCAATCGTATTATCATCTCACATAAATACAGATTTGTTTAGCTATATGTTGGTACACTCACACAAGAAATTCTATTCTGTCTCTCTAGACTGAAAAAAGTACTGAAAAACTGATTTCCATGATTTTATTTCATAATACTTCATAAAAGGTGACCTGTTTAGTTAAAAGACTAGTCCAGTTACAAATCCAGCACACCATAAAAAAGGTTTGGTGTATGATATCTTACAGTTTATTAGTCTGGCCTTGCTGATTTCAAGTCTGCAGAGTACCTGAAGGACAGACAGCAGTCAAAGTTTTGAGGCTTGTCTCCCATGAAAAAGTTAATAACTTTTTCATTTCAGATGACAAGGACAGACCATAGAGTTTTGCATAGCTGGAAGTGTACTATCTTGTTTCCATCTTCAACCAGAAAAGTATGCAAAATCTTTCTGTATATGTCATAAATGAAGAGTACGCATCAGACTCTTGCGCAAGATCATTAACAGCTTCATTTCTTTTCTCAAAATTTATTTGGTTGTTGATTTTGCCATTTGATACTGACAGCGGAGTATGTACTGTATGATCTGAAAGATGCACCAGGCTGCAAGATAAAGAACAGAGAAAGAATGTGTCATAGACTGTAAAATATCTTGCTAAGTCATTCTCAAGTTATGCTTTGTTATATGTCCTGTCTGAGACAGGAGTTTTGAGAGGGGCATTGAGAATGGATTTAGGATTTTTCTTACAGGTTTATCTCTTCTCGTAAGGGATGATGATGGGAAGAGAAAAATAATTTTCTTTTTTTGAAATAGTGCAGTTGAAGCTGATACTATTAAGGCAAATGCAGGAGCAGTCATGTGATAACATAAGCATTAGGCATAAAGTTTTGAGGGTTAACTGGAAGTTAATGGGAAGATGTTTCAGGAGCTGATGCAATTAAGTAATGAACCAGGAAGATAATTTCATGAGGATCAGTTTGAGAGAATAAGGCTTGCAGGCATTGAAGCCAAAGAAGAGATTATCAATGAGTAAGATACTTAGATTTTTGTCAGTCATTTTGGAGGCAATTTGCAGGAAGAAACAGTCTTGTTACGTATCCAACCAGAATCTGAGTGTTAAAGTGAGATGTTCCAAGAATGAAACCAATATTATGCTCTAGAATACCAGGGAAGACAGTGGTCCCCTTAGCTGTGTTGAAGTAGCAATAAGAAGACTTCTGTTCAGAAAAATAGAGTTTGTCTTGGCAATGTTAAGTTCACATCTGGACACTTGTGCGTAAATGTGAGAAAGACAAGATTACTATGCTAGCTTGGATGGAAGGAAACCAAGTTAGAGATGAGTATTTATGAATCATTAGGGTAAAAAAGATATTTGTTGCCCTGTTTATAGGCACGAATCTTCTCAAATACCGGGAAGTGTTGATGTTTTATTCTGGGGTGCCCTGCAACTGAAGAGTGGAAAAAAAACACAACCATCAAACAGGGAAAAGAAGCAATGTGTTGAAAAAGAGAGATTTTTCCAAAGAAAAACATAATTAACAATGTCAAGGGTATCCAATATGCAAAGCACAGTGGTGGAATAATTGTTTTGAGTTTTTGCCAATAAATCTATAAAGAGCTTGATAAGAGTAATGCATAAACTAGATGCAAAAGCATCTAGAGTGAGCTGAGAGCATTATGACAGCACATTCTCTGGTTTGGGAGGTGAAAGTGGGTAGAAACAAAAGGGAAGACATTAAAAGGAGAAATGTAATCAGTTGTAGGCAAAAATAATGAGAGAAACTGAAACATAATTGTCCTATCAGGGGAGGCAATTTGAGGAAGGTAAGAGGTTAAGACGAGGGTAAGTGCAGAGCTGGAGTTAGCTTTCTGGTGTTGATGACAATAGCAAATGGTTGCTGTAACATCTGCTGGCAGCCACCTTCCTTCATAGCAAGAATACATGCCAAGACAAATAAAATAAACTTTCTCTGCATTAGTGCAGAACATGTTGTTGTTCAGTTTTGGGGTTTTTTTTATTCCTTATTGAAATTAAGTTGTACATGTTATTACCTAGCAGTAGGTAACATATATTCAGATATTGAAATACGTACATTTACTGCATCTAGAGAGAGGCTTTGCAACCGAATATAGAAATACCAACTTGGAAAGGCAATTTGCATCTCCTGCTAGAAATTCATACCATCTGTTAGTAAAACAAGAAAATAAATACTTTATGAAGCATCCAAAAAGTCGACAAATTCAAAGGATGTTGAACCATTTGAAAATAATTTTCAGAATGAAGACTTTTCAGTGAGCACTCCTCATTCCTCCTTCAGGCTAGTGCCTTACAAGGATATGAGCAAAAGTAATCTTGACCTGACAGGAGGGCACAGAAAACTCTGTGTTATGAGTCATCACATATCAGTAATTGGCACTTTAAATCACACCTGACAACACAGTAGATGATAATATAGGTTGAGTTTTAAGTAGACAGCTGTATTCTAAACTGTCATTTCCAAAGAATTAATTATATCTAAACATAAAGAAAACACAGTATGGTTATTCAGTATGAAGATGATGTATTAAGAAGACACTGGGGTTACTTATTGGCTTGTGAATATTTATGATAATTTTTTTATAATTTGTTTATTTATTCAAGATGTGATGGCTTTGGGTGCTTTTAAGTAAATGATCAATATGAATCATTTAATCATAGAAATACAAATTTAAATTGTCAAAAATAATTTAAAATTAATTATGAGTTTGTAGAAGTTGCTACACTGTACTAGACAATACATTCTTAGATCTTTTAATAAAGAGGAAATGGGAATCACAGTAACCTTTGAAATGTATCCATAGGACATGTCTTTAAAAGTGCTTTAATGCCTTATGCAATATATTTACATCTTGTGCTATTTTCACATGCTTATAATTTGTTCAAACCAAAACCAGTTTCTTTAAAACGTCAATGGGTCCTTATTCTCACAGGTGGTTGTTTACATTGCCAATCTCAGTTACTTGCCGTTAGTTCTACTGCAAGTTTTTTCTTACTCTATCTGGACTTAAAATCTGCTGGCGTGGGTTTTTTGGCTAAAAATAGTTAAAATATCTTGGGACACAGATTGAGTCTACAGAACTTAAAAAAAAAAAGCAAAAATATTTTTGTAATTTAACTTCAGTAGCTGTTGTTGTCTCTCAAATACGCAAGGGAAGCTGAGTTGCATGGAAATACTTAGACATGATAAATTATTGAAAAGACTTAGCTTGGTTTCCTCAGAAAGGAAATTATAGTAGAAAATAAGCAGTGGGACAAAGAAAAGCTTGAGAGCTGCCTTTCTCATCTAAAGGGAAACCAAAGACAACATTTTATGGAATCAAAGGTAACACATAAAAATTGACAAACGTGTGTTTATTCCTTTCAGTGAATGAAGACTGTGCAATTCATTGCCATCAAACATCTTTAGAATTTAGGATTTAGTAAGATTAAAAGACACATTAGATGCATTGATGGAAAATGAGGAGAAATTATTGTAATCCTTTTAAGCAAGAAGGATTTATGGCAGGAGAAAATCTGCAAGGGTCAGTGCTTAAGCAAACCTGAGTGTCTGAGGTTAAGACAAAGTCCTTGTGCAGGACAGGTAGTATTACTTACGCTTAATACGGGAACTTACTGCACTTCTCTTTTTCCTTAAGACGTTTGGTCATTGTTAGACATGATAGTGGCTTGACGATAAGTCTGGATTTGTAGAGAAGTTTACATGTTCGCCATTTTTAAATACCATAACATGAAATGTATCTTTACTGTTGTAAACTGTAAAACCACTGCCAAACATAAAGAGCTCGTGGTATTCTCATGATAGTTGCTCTTGGGTTTTCTGAAGAGTGGTATGATTTGGTGCATTTCCTACTTAAGCCTGTGGCACCATAACTTACATTGAGCTGTAGATTTTCCTTTTATGTGAACTCACAAAAAAAAACAAAAAGAGAAACTTATAAATAAGCAAAATCTGACCTGACAACTGACATTGTAACTATCCTCAATAGCAATTATGCAAGATTTAGAAGAATTTCATTAATCACAACATCATAACCGTAGTGTTAAAAATTTAATATCTCCAGTACTGCATTTGCAAAATAAACAGTTTAATATTTCATTTTATTTATCCAGGGCTTCTGATGCTATGCAAATGTGCCAAACTCACTCCCACTGTACCTTGCAGACAGTTCTGCAGCAAAAATCAATTATGTCCCAAATCTCTAGGTACATACAGAAACCCCAGAGTCAGGCAGAAGGAAGATTTGCTCTAAGAAAGCTATACATAGACAGCCTCCTTAAACAGCTGCAGTTCTTGAATTCTATCATAACGTCTGAAGTGACTGAACTCACAATTAATTGGAACTTATAGTTCTCTCACAGATTCTAAGGTGAATCAAAAAAAGATTCAAGTATATTTTTCAAAATAAAAAATCTTTGTTTTTCAACGTTAGTATCTAGACTGTGCTTTTTTGTTGTTTAAAGTCAGGAGTAAATTTGTCATTAGTACTGACTTAACAGGCTAAATCAATACTGCTGTTTTTCCAAAGGGCTCTCAAAATTGTGTTAGCACTTGCACAGTTTTGTTAGTGGTTGGAACTTTTTATTCTGATTGTTGGGGCTTTAGGTTCTCCCCATTTTTCAAAGCAGTTTGAAATTATGTTGTAATAAAAAAATATATCAGTACCTACATTAAGATCCCACTGTTTTTAATACAAAGAGAACAGCACTGTTGACCAAATGGTAGCAGAATTTTTTTAAAACAAGAGTATATATGAATTTTAGAGATGAGGATCTTTGAGCCTGAGGATCCAGAGGCCATAAAAATTAAAACATGTCCCATTGCAGGAGGCATAGTGCCACTAGGCTCCATGACCTGAGCGCTGTGCGTTTGCATTGCTAGCAGATGGGTGTCTGGTGCTGGGCTGTCTGCCCCACCCAAGTAGCCCGTGGCATGGAAAGTCAGAGTGCCACATATCAAGAGGGAACCACTGGTACAAGCCACAGGGCACCAAGGGATATGTGTGATGGGTACGTTTGAATAGGTACGGCCATGCCCAGTTCAGGAGTTAGCCCACAGGAAAGGACAGCAAGAGCCCATATTCTTCTCCCTAGCATGCCAAAAGGCATGTTTAAACTTTTACTTCAACCTATGCCAAAGGTGGATCTTAGCTTGATCACGGAAACAATCCCAAGCTTGAGCAGGATAAATTGAGATTACTTGTTGCTGTCTTCCATGGTAGACTGCTCCAAATGAATTTGTCACAAATATTTATAAACAATATATCTTGGCCAAAAATTCTGAGTTATATTCAGACAGCATTATTGTTGCCTCTGCGTCCTTTAAAATGAGCTATCTTGTGTGAATGGATATAAAAGTTCCTAATATTGCATAGTAATAGTGATATTTTTGTATTCACTTCCTGCTTTCACCAGCACTGTCTGTTTTTGCTTTTTTTTTTCCTCTTCTCTAGATTTAAGGTTTTCTCCCTTCGTTCTGCAGCAGTTGAAAGCATACAGTTGTTTCCACATCAGTTTGACAGGGATGAATAAGTTTGATTCATATCACAGGCATTTAAATTTTAAACTATATAGGTACAGTCACTCTTCATCTACCCTGAGGCACTTAAAAAACAAATCTGAGTTAGCAAGAGGTGTGATTTTTATTTTTTTTTTAAACCAGACCTAAATTTCTGCAGTGACAGCCTGATAACTGCAGTTATCTGAAAGAGATATCTCCCTCGCATTTCACACCCTTCCTTTCTCCAAATTGACTTTAAAGTGCAGAATATCATCAACCAAGAAAGCTGAAGCATGCCCTGGTAGATTGTAACTTAACTTTTCAACTCCATTTTTTCAGGCCTGACAGAACTCAGTGACAGTCCAGTTTCCCTGGAGCTAGAGCGTTGCAAGTCTCCCACTTCAGGTAAAGGTGATTGGCTTCTCTTCCTGCAGTCTGTATAAGCCATTCATGTCATACATCACTGTGTTTCATTAATCCCTAAGAAGTGAAGTGCATAGTTACAGTTCCAAAGAGAAGAAATTACTGGAGAAGTGCCTATTACATGGCACATTAAAATCCTAAGTCTGTTTACTTAAAGAAAAATTAAATGTACGTGGCGCATCTTGAGGCGAAGAGTATGAAAACATTTGAATTAACAACATCATGCAGGTATATTCCTATATTCCTAGTAGAGTCTTGTTTCTCTGTGTTCTTAAAAGGCTGTCTGACTTTTTTTTTTTTCAGTAGGGTGTCCTTATAATTTTATGTATCTCTTATGCATATGTGCACGTAGAGAAGTTATTTGAAAAACAGAAAAATGCAGATGGTAAATTTTAACCATTAGAACCCACCAGTGCCTACATTATGTAACTTATGATAGAAGCATAACCTCATATAAAAATATTCACTTATCAACCACTTTGACACAGCAGTGAAATCTTGGCCATTTAAAAATTTATGTTTCCCATTTTACCTATAGTCCTTCAGAAGGTAGAGTTTGTCTCATTCCTAGATACTTCTTCTGCAAGTGCTTAGTCTGCATTGATCTCTTTAATGGGAGTTCACTGTCTTAAAGATCGTTGCTTAGAGCTGTTTTCTAGTAGCTGCCTTTTAAATGTGATGGAAAATAAGGAGGTATAGCTGTGATACATTCATTTTCCCTGTGGTATGCACTTTCCCCTGTAGTTTGGTAAGTATTGATAGATGCTTTCTTTTTTGTCCTTAGTTATAGTAGCAAATTCCTACAAATGCTATTCAAATCCTATTTATTATTTCACATATTCTACATTATAACAGGACACATTAATTTCAAATGGAAGCTCCTAATTAGTAATTTACTAAAAGCTGAAACTAATAAAAGTGTTTCAGTGACACATGAAGAACTAAAACAAAATAGCTGTTTTGAAATATGTATTTCTTTGTATGCTTTGCAACTGAAATTCAGTCAACATGGGAATATCAAAGTGAAATTGGCTATAATAGTATTGGTGTAACACTAGAAGCTCGATTCTTGATCTAGGTCTCAGAAAGTCATGATATGGACTTTAAAATAAAACATTTGATAGCTCAGTATAATCAGACTATTTATTGTGTGGCTTACTGGGATTCATCTTATCAATCTTCTCTCCAGATATGAGCTACAAGCTCTTTTTTTTCTTTTTTTCTGAAAACTAAGAGATCACTGACTTGGTAAACATATGTGCATATGCTTAGTTTTATGATGATGGGCGACTCCTTTAGCACCTTACTTTCTCTGTATTTAGCTTCAATTTTTCATTCTATTTTAGATAAATTTAAAATAACTTGCTCCAAAATTTAGTCTACTTCTCTGATTTGGAGATCATTCAGCATGGAAAGCATGACATATTTATGAATGTTTCCTATTTTAGCCCTTCCATGTTATTTTCCAAGCTCTATTTGAATCTTTAAAATGGGAAATCAGGTGCAATTTTGTAGTCAGTAACTGCTTTTTAAAATAGAAGTTAGTTTTACTGTGACTGATATTGATTATTTTTTTAAAATAATGCAAAATTAAAATTATTTTTCTTTGGCATACGTGTACTAAAACTGGGCAAAATCCAGTCTAATCAAGTAACTGACTTCCAAGAACCTGGGAGCAGAGCAACCTTGTGCTTATCAGCACAGCCTCACAGCTACATCAGCCTTTGCACTGGCAAACGTTTTCTCCTCATAGAATAGAACTGACTGATCTGCATGGTTACAGATTTGTTTGGCAAGATCCTTCTACATCCAGTTTTGCTTTTGATGTGTTTGAAGTTCATAGCACACAGCTCTGGAACAGAAGCGTGCTGTACTCTGTAACAGAGTCCCATGGTATTTGTGTTTGGAAATCCAACAACCACATTCCTCTGCTGAAGATAAGCCAGGACTTCATCTGTCAGAAGTTCAGCAGAGACAGAAAGAACACTCTGCTGCTGAGTAAAGTGATTCCAGCTGCTGCCTAGCAAAAGTCCTACTGGGTATGACTACATCACCAACTTATGAGACAAAAGGAACAGAGTTTGATATGTTGCAGTTCGTTGTTATTGTCAGACTACATCAACAGCAACTCTTCGCTCAGCGGTGAAGTTCAACCAGTTACTGGCCCTGAACATGTACAATGTGTACACAAAGCCCTCACTGCTGGAGGACGCTAGTCTACATGACAAACACTGCACACATGGTGGCACACTGGTGACCAGCTTCACCCTCAGCTCCATCAGGCAAGGAATGATTTGAGAAACCACACTGGTGTGCTCATGTGCATACTTTGAGACTCTGAGACAGTGCCTAGGAATAATCCCTCCAGCACACTAATTGCCTGTGTAGACACCAACAGTTTTACATTGAAGAGAGCCATTAGTAATTTAGTCAGATTTCAGTTCCAACCAAGCCCATGAGAACTGTGTTGATAAAGGCTTCTTGGAGAATTTGAAAAATCTACTGCCTCCTCATCTCTTGGTGTGATCCTGAACGTTGCTTAGCCTGCCTGAACCATCTCAGTTTCACTGAAAAGTGTATTTTGCCTGTAACACTCTACTGCTTAACA